CTTCTCGAGCCTCGCGGCACACGGCCATGAGAGCAATGGATTTCGTTACTCGTGGTGTCAACTTGACAGACTGTAGTTCAATGACGCGAGGGCTGGAGATAGCACAAGACCAAACCATTCGTCGTAGTTCGAGCGGAAATTTGGGAAACAGGGTGAACGACATCTCGCTAGCCGTGCCTATGGTCTGTTGATGATCTGGTACAGAAGTCGATACCTGAACGACCTCGAGGTCAGAGGGCCGTTCAGTCGCACTATGTGGCGTAGTCTGACTGTTTGGAGTTGAGGTAAGGAACGAGATATCGGAATCGACGTTCTCAACTCGGCAGTTGGGAGCTACATTCGTGGAAGAAGGTGAAGGAGAAACCGACTGAGTTGGAGATGCGTCTGAACACGTGCTTTCAATTCGGTCACCCAGTTCTTGCTTGGTTGTGGAGTCCATGGTTGATGCCGCCGTTGCGAGTGGCAGTGTTACGCGGTTTCGTAAGGTGCAAAAATGACGTTGCGTTGGGGACGAGATGAATTCTGATGTCGAGGATGATGTTGAAAGGCGGAGAAAGGTTGCAGGGCAATTTGGGTGCGTTCTTAAATACTCGAGAGGGAGAGAGCTCCTTCTCGCTTAAATCAGAGCAAACTTGAAAATTTATAAACAAAGAAAATTTTGCATCTCACCATTGGCTATGGCAGCAGTCTTGCATGGCAAGTTGTGCACGCAGACCTTAAGAATTTCAGTCCAAAATTTTAGGCAAAATTTAGAATGAAAGAGACACGGGACAAAACTGTAGGAGAAACCTAGGATCAGAAAGCTAAAACCGATCCTACTCGAGGGAGGGGGACAACCAGACTGACTGAGTTGATATTTGATAAAGCTTTGTGGCACAAAGCAAGAACACCTGCGCCGAATCATTTATTCGTGACATGAAGCCATTTGTATCCCCATCGTGTCAGCCGATGGGGGAAGTCTTGTGCCTTTAACTCACTATTGACGAACGAAAGCAATACAGAGATATTGAGCGCACGTTTAGGCAGGAATTGGCGCCTACGCAAACTCATTACGAAGTACAGCAATCGAGAGCAGCCCCAAGGAATTTTAATAATGGGTCAGAGTTGAAGTGTGAGAACAAACTGGGGGAAGCTCGAGGCAGGTAAGAGAATTCTCAAAAGATTTAGCACTTTGCATTCAAGTAAGGATATAGAATTCAGGTATGTAATTGTGGGACATAATGCATCTGTGATCATAGATCTAGAGAGATGCCTCTTGCATAAGTTGAATTATTTGGTGCTTCCAGCGTCTGAATGTAGCGAGAAACTCGAGCCATCAAGCACCACGACCCACCTGACTAAGAATTCCTGACGTAAAAGTAGCACAGAAAAGCACGAAAACAGATCATCATAAACGCAGCATCTATGCATATCGCTGCTCATGAACTAACATGCAGTGGAATCTTGTTGCAGACAATTCATCAATTGAGCTGGGATACATTCTGAAGAGAAGAAGAGAGAAGAGGAAAAGTTCAAGGGATCCTCGAACCTTAAATACAGTGCTAAGTAAGCCCCCAAGCTCCCCTGCAAACACCCCTAACCATTCCCTGTCAAGCCTGAAACTGCAGCTACCCTTCTCGATAAGATAAGAGCCCCAGGTCATCATCACGTCATCTGGTTACTCAGCTGCATACATTGCCCCTCTCCATTCTTCTCCTTTAACCTATCCCTTATCCTTCTCTTAACATTTGATTCTCGTTTCTACATATTCTTGTTTCCTAATCCGAAGATGCCAAACGTCCTAATAGTTGGCGCAACCCGCGGCCTCGGTGCGAGCCTTGCGAATCAATATGCCTCTCATCCCTCAACGACGGTCTACGGCACCTCCCGGTCCGTGGAACCACCGACAAAGGCATATCGTAAAGGAATAAAGTGGGTGAAGGGAATCGATCTGAATGAGAAGGGGGTGGGGATGAAGTTGGTAGATGAGTTAGGGACAATTGGGGTGGATGGAGGGCTGGACATTGTGGTGAGTTGTGCACCAGTTCAAGATGGATGAATGAACGTTAATGGGCAGTTGGCAGATCATAACAGCGGGCTACTTCGCAACAGAAGACTTTAATTCCGGTCCGAAATGGGAGGAAGAAGTCAGGATGTAGTACGTGTCTCCCTCTCTCACCGATAACCCATATCAATTCTAAGTGAAATCAGCACGACATCCGCAATCGCACCACCCTTCCTAATCCATGCCCTCTCGACCGCCTCCCTTCTTCCACCTGGCTCCAAAGTCGTCCTAGTCTCTTCTGAATCCGGCTCCATCACACTCCGCCACGAGAAAGAGGGAGGAGGAAATTATGCACACCATGCGAGCAAGAGCGCGCTGAATATGGTTGGGAAACTGTTGAGTTTGGACTTGAAGGAGAAAGGCGTGGTGATCAGCATTGTGCATCCGGGGTTCATGCGGACAGAGATGACGAAGGGTGTTGGATTTGACAAGTATTGGGATGCTGGGGGTGGTGAGTTCTCCTCTAAAGGGTGGGGAAATTGGGCTGATGATGGGTGATTTAGCTGTCACACCGGATGAGGCAGCTACAAGTCTGATTGAGTGGACCGAGAAGCTGGATATAAGTAAAACGGGCCAGTATTGGGCTCCGAGAGGACCAAGTGAGTTTCTCCTCTTCCCAGCTCTACCCAACGAACACTCTGACCAGTTGAACAGGAGACATTGGCACAGCAGATGTGACAATCGGGACGGATCTGCCTACACCATTGCAATTACCTTGGTAATCCCGCACATAAAGCAATAGAAACGAACTTTGCCCACAAAGAACCTCAATTGCTTGAATTTTCTGCTCCTACACTCCACTCATTATTCTTCGTGTATTAACAGCTAGAAAATAATCCAGCTCTTCGTCACAGCAAATCCAGATCATATCCGCGTATCAGATTGAAGGTATCAACTCATCAATCACCCCAATTCATGCAATTCCCCACTCCTCATTATCAAAACCCCACTAGCTCTCACCCTGCAATTATGGCCGAACCCCTACAAAACAGCAACAACCCCCAACATACCCACCACACCTCCCATCGCAGCCATCAGTGCTGGCGCACCCGCCTTACTCGTACTCGTGCTCGGCGAGCTGCCCCCAATGTTACCGGTGGTCAGGACCGCGGGTTCAGTCGTCGCAGCCGCCGACGCCGTAGTCTGGGCCGCCGTTTTTGTCTTTATAACAGAGGACGTCGTCAAGTTACTCTTCGCGGTGGATGAGGTGAGGATGGTGGTGTTCAGGGCGGTGGCGAGAGCTGTGTTAGTGGTGGTAAGAGCTGTGTTGGTTGCGGTCGCGGAGTAGGCTTTGCAGAGGTTGGTGCCGACGGTCAGGGCGATTTGTAGGTCGGTTGCGTTGCAGGCGCCGATGAGGCAGGGGCCGACGACGGCGGCGGAGAGGCCGCATTGGCAGGAGACGTCGGTGGGCGCGCAGCTGGCGGCGGAGATGGCGGAGAGGAGGCAGGAAGTCTGTTGTTTGGTGGGTTAGTTGGGGTATTTGGAGTTGTGGGAGCAAGGGGGATATGTACAGCACAGGCTGGCTCGCCGCTCAGGTTCTGTGCGGCTGCCAAGCTGAAGATAGCTGCGATTGCGAGGACGGAGAACTTCATCTTGTCGTGGTGTACTGTACGTGAACGATTGAAGGGCAGAGTTCTGAATTGGGTTTGCGTGTACTTGATTGACGTGGTAGCGACGGTAGACACGTAGAGAGTGAATGCGGGAAAGGGAGCTGAGGGCGAGCTGGGGCTTTTGTATGCAGGATGCGCTTATTTCAGTGGATCCCATCTGAGCCCAACTGAGCACAACTGTTGGTCGTGCGGGGAAGACAAGCTCAGGGGTGGCACCTGGAATCCTACGCGATTGGGCATGAGATGCCTAATTTGGACCCCTGGGCTAATGTGGCTCGGTTTATTGGGCGCCACGAGATGGGCATCTCAAAATGTTTCATTGCTGGGAGCTGGTGCTAAGGGATGTTTTTGAGATTGGATGGAAGAATTCTTCTGTTTGTTGGATGAGGGGTTACATGCTTGGAAGATCTGTGGATACAAATGTTGATACTTCGAGATACATATCACTGATCAGCAGCCAGGAGATCTGCATCCCCAGCTTTCAGCTCGCGGGCACTAAAATGCCTAGCTTCCTAGCTCCGAAACTTTGCAGATGCTTTCCTGATGGTTTGTACAGCACACAAGAAGGTGCCCGAGCTTCTCTTTATCCCGATAACAGAGTCAACTTCGCTGTCCCCTTCTCTGTTGTTGTTCGCAGAGGCTGCCTGTTTCTCATGTGTGGGCTACGCGTATTAGGATCCACACTCACGTTATACGGTTCCAACCCCCACGTTCCACTTAAGAGTAATGCAAATTACGAGGAGGTAACGCAGGGAAATGAAGCTGGAGGTTTGTTTAAGATGTTCACCCTGAATTGCTAGCTACTTGTTTGCTGCTTGATCATTTCAATGAATCACGTGAGCTGCCAACCACTGGGACGGAACAGCCTATTCAGATCATGCTTGAAACCAGCTTGAAACCAGCTTGCAAAAGATAAATGTAATCTATCTTATTGTATTAGAAAGTGCTTCAGTTTCATGCGATGTTTTGAATAGGTGGAACTTGGCTCTTTCCAAGTAGTATCAGGAAGTGACTTTCCGTTTGCTCTTCATATGCTCTTTACATGTTGAGCCTTTCTGGGCTGATACAGTTTTGAGCTTTTGCTGTTGCATAAACTTGAATACTAGAGGTTTCGGGACGAAATATAGCCTTAGAGAGTCCTTTCTCAACGGACGATAAAAGACAGCTCGAAAGGGGAAGGAGCATCTACCAGGGATATTTCAATTCGGGTAACATCCGCTTTCCATTCAAGGACTGCAATCAAACAGTTCACAGATTCAAAAACAATTCTAAAGCTTTCTTTATCATATCACCATATTCATGAACTTGGAGCAGCCCAAAAAAAACACCAAAAAAACAAGGCCAAATGCGTCGTGTGGGGTTCGAACCCACGTCTCCTGCTTGGTGAACCCGTAACCACTCAAGATAATTACAAATGGGAAGCAGACCAGTTAACCACTACTACAACGACGCCACTGAGACTTCTTGTGGCAATTCTATCTTATTTGGATACATAAAGGTGGCTGCTCGCAGTCAAAGGTAAACAGATGAAAGAGATGCAAGTTGCCGGGTCACGGGATGAAAGGGCTTCACTTTCATCTGATAAGCGCACGCTAAGATAAGGATCAGGCTGGAATTTTTTCTGTGCCTTGAGAGGGAGGGAATATATCTGGTGGAGAAGAGCAATCATGTTCAGAGATGAAGATCAGTTTCCGGTGTACATGAATACAGTCATGGAGGTTCACAGCGATGAGGTGACGCAGCTGGAGCAACGATACGCTAATGATGACTTCGACGATGTTTTTGGCTCTGCCCCTCCTTCTCCCACTCTCTCGGACGAAGACACACATACAAACCACGATGATCGAATACGCAGCGGAAATCTCGAACCCTCCGATATTCCACGGTTGAAAGAGAAGCATGAGACAGAGGGATACAGAGATGGAGTCACGAAGGGCAAGGCGGAGAGCGTGCAGAAGGGGTTTGATGAGGGGTATTCTCTTGGAGCTGTTCTGGGCTTGAAGATTGGGAAGATTCTTGGCTTGTTGGAGGGCTTATATGCCGCGCTGAAAGGGGGTGGAGTCGAGCATAAGGAGGAGGCACGGAGGTTGGAAATTCTCTGGGCGGAGGCGAAGGAGGAACTGGGCACAAGGAGTGTGTTTGGCACGGAGTGGTGGGGTGAGGATGGCGTGTGGAAGTTTGAGGTCCCTGGAGAAGGGGATGGGAAAGAGGTTCTGTTTCCGGATGTTGCGGGGGCGCATCCGTTGGTTGTTAAGTGGGAGAAGGTTGTTGACGAGGAGGTCAAGAAGTGGGGTCTCAATCTGGATATTATGGAGGGGGATCAGGAGAAGACTCATATCGAGGAAGAGAAGAGCACCCAAGGACAATCAAAGAACAATCATACTGCGGAAGTCAGCGACAATACGGAAGGGTTGGCTAAGATTATGGGAATTGCCAAGAAGGATTTGAATTGGTGATCTCGATACCCAGAGGTCACCCTCTACAGCACCAGAGCAGATTCAACAAACTTCACAGCCTCGTTTGGGTACATACCGAGATGAAGTATCCCCGTAACCCCGCACGAATCGACAATCTACCATCAGAGTGCGGTCATTCTCGGATCGAGAGTACAGTCCAGACTCCTCCACCGCCATTTGATACCTGCCCTGAGACGGCTTCCGGCACCTGCCAAGAGATGAAACATTATGTGAGCTGCCGTCGTGGTAATGTCAAATTCTCCGCAGCCTCCATCGAATAGCTGGCGTTCGGTTGCGTGGCCGTGTCGCTCTGTTGCCAGGCACTTTGCGCCGAGGGACAACTCAACAGAATGACTTTTATGCGAATCTCAAACCGTTCAAATCACATCGCAGTGTGAGCAACTACAGCTGTTGTGTTGATTGGTGCCACGAGGTCGTTGGCTGGCCCCCTTTTCTTTTTCGTTCCCGAGGCAACTTTGGCTAAACGAGTGCTGAGCCCTGAATCGTGTACCTGCATGCGGTGCCTGGAGGTGCTGATCTTACAGGAAAAATCAATCGAGGAGTTGGCGTGAGAACCAAAGCATTGAATACGAGGTGACTGCAGAATGTGCCAGTCAGATCCTGATAATCTTGCATCGTGCCCTCTTCTGTTGAAGTCGAGGTCGTGCCTCCCTCGCCTGTCAGAACCGGCAGAATATCAACAATTCCCACCGAACCTGAACTTCTCTTCTTCAACATCACAACCCACATCCTTTTCTCCTCATATCCATCGCAAGATTCACTCCTAGCCATCGAATCTTGCATTCCTGTCGTTACTCCTGCACCTCTTACATTCAACTCCTAGCAAAAAGCATTTCTTTTGCTCACGAAATACGACCAGTCACGGCGTCGCGTTTGCACTCCACTAGTTCTGCCGTCGAATCAACGTGAGTCGTTTTGTCTCACTTCAGCTCTCCCCACATCTATGAATAGCACAACTGCGGCTCCCCAGTCAACAGCGATGCAGACTTCGTATAGGCACAATGACACAACGAATGCGCCACGGTTGCTGTGCTGTACAAGATGCACAATGCACTTTTGCCCCTCTCAATTCCCCATATTCTTGTCCCACCGAACACAAATTGTTCAACGGACATCAATTGACATTTTCTAGTACACCTAGGAAAAATGAAGGCTTTCGCTCTTCTCCTTGGCCTTGCGGCTACCTCTTACGCCAATATAATTTTCACACACGTCGAACTGATCTGCTTCAATGATACGAATAAGATGTACCACGGGTGTCTCCGTGGTCAAGACTGCAATTCGCACAATGAGTGAGCATCGCAAATTCTCCCAACCGAGCTTCTCCTGACCATAGTACAGATGCGTACCCACTGACCGATCACTCCCTTCAGAGCTTCGAGATATTCAAGAGAGACAAACACCAGCTTTCTCGACTGACGGCACGTGTGGTCCGGCCAATGGGGGTACAATTTGTGACCCAAACAGCACCGTCTATACCGGTGGATGCTGCTCACAGTGCGTGAACTTCCCTTGGCCAATCGGCCAGCGCTGACATTGGAATACAGATATGGCTGGTGTGGAAATACTGCTGCGTACTGCGGTGACGGCTGTATCTCTGGTTGCACGCAAAGTTCTACTCCTCCAGCTAGTACTGGTGGCTCTGGTGGAGTCAATGTCGGTGCCTTGCAACCAAGCACCACTACTACTGCTGAGCCAGTAATTGGGCAAATGTCGACAACCATGGATCCTGGTGCTGCTGCAACTGGTGCGGTAACGACTGATGGTGAGTTCCCTCACGAGATACTTCTCCTAACACGCTGGAACAAGATATTGCTTCGACTCTTGCCCGGTTTTAGCAGTGCTGATGTGTTTCGATCTAGGCACCTGCGGAGCAGGAAATGGTAACACCGTCTGCGGGAACTGGCCGAATGGCAATTGCTGCAGTATGTACGGATTCTGGTAAGATACTTCTCCCTCCTTTGTAGAACTTCTGTTCTGACATTCTTTCCAAGCGGCAACACTTCTGCTCACTGCGGAGCCGGTTGTCAATCCGGTGACTGCTTGAGCGCTCCAGCTGTTCCCGCTCCCGGTCCTTCACCGGCGCCTGCTGCACCAAATGGAGGCTCATTCAAAGTTGTCGGTCTATCGGGGGTTCCTGCAATGCACGCTGCCCTTATGCCTAATGGTCGGGTCATGTTCCTTGACAAGTGAGTACAATGACTTTGTTTGCCATCCTGTTTTCGAACCATTTCCTTCGCCAATGTCTGGCCAGTTTTGGGACATTAGCTATGTCCGCACCTCCATGGTTCATTCTGCTCCCGGAACAACATAAATGATGCTGACTGCCCCAGATTGGAGAACTATACACAGTTACGCACAGCGGATGGGTATTATGCGATGTCATCTGAGTATGACCCGGTGACAAACACTCCAGTCCCTCTTGCTTATTTGACAAACGCCTTCTGCTCTGGTGGCACCTTCCTTGCTGATGGTCGGGTTATTTCTGTCGGCGGAAACGCTCCATTGACCTGGCTCGATCCGAACATTGGGGATGGTTTCACTGCAATTCGATATCTCCAAAGATCATCTTCGGACGCTAGCTTCAACGGCCAGAACTGGGATGAGCCGGGCAACAAGCTCGCCAGCGCTCGCTGGTATGCAAGTGCCCAGACACTGCCCGATGGAACCATTTTCGTCGCATCTGGAAGCTTGAATGGCCTCAACCCGACGGTACTTTCAAACAACAATCCGACATACGAAATTCTGAGCCCGCTTGCAATTACTCAGGGCAACAACATTCCAATGGATATCTTGGCAAAGAACCAGCCATATTACATGTACCCGTTCATTCACCTACTCAACGATGGTACATTGTTCGTTTTCGTCTCTAAGGCGTCTCAGGTGTTCAATGTCGGCACGAATACCATTGTCAAGGAATTGCCTGATCTTCCAGGAGACTACCGTACCTATCCAAATACGGGTGGAAGCGTCCTGTTACCGCTGTCAAGTGCTAATAACTGTAAGTCTCAACAGTACAATGATCCATTAGTCCCGGGGTAATCTGTTCGGGATTGGATTTTCCCAAGTCTTTCGGGAACAATTGATATGAAGAAATGATTCCCAATTTATGGGAAATCGAGCACTTGCTAACATCATACAGGGAATCCCGACATTATCATCTGCGGTGGTGGTGCCTATCAAGATATCACCAGCCCAACGGATCCCAGCTGCGGACGCATACAACCACTGAGTGCCAACGCTGAATGGGAGATGGACGCAATGCCTGCAGGTCGTGGGATGGTTGAAGGTACTTTGCTCCCAGATGGTACCGTTATCTGGCTCAACGGTGGCAACCTCGGAGCTCAAGGATTCGGGCTCATGGCAGATCCAACTCTGGAGGCTCTCTTGTACAACCCCACCTTGGCACTTGGTAAACGATGGTCAACACTCGCCAGCTCAACGATTCCTCGACTTTATCATTCAGTTGCGCTTCTCCTCCTGGACGGAACGCTTATGGTAGCGGGCTCGAATCCGGTCCAGATGCCTGTCCTTCAAGTGTCCGCTGAGAATCCATATATCACCGAGTTCCGGGTAGAGAACTATGTTCCCCCGTATCTCCAGGGCGATAGAGCAAACCAACGTCCGACAGACATTGTCCTATCTTCAACCACGATCACAGCAAATGGTGGCAAATTCACCATCTCATTCCAGATAGTTCCAAATGCACAAACTGTGGAGGTCGTGTTATACCACGGGTAAGTGACACTTTTCATTGGCTTTAAATCCGGTACTGATGCTTTTCTAGCGGATTCGTTACTCACTCCCTCCATATGGGCCATCGAATGATCAACTTGGACGTGGCAGGTTGGGTTGCAGGCGCAACAAATCAGAAGTTGACCGTAACTGGTCCACCGAATAATAACGTTGCTCCCCCAGGACCGTACGTGGTTTATGTCCTGTGTGATGGAACTCCTGGAATTGGACAGTTCGTTC